TTTATAGATAAATGGACAGGAGAGTAGACCCACCCGTCACAAATAAGAATAATGATAATAATACATTATATTTATAAAATTACATGTATCCCTTAAAATTAAACAAAAACACTTCGTTATATATAATTTTCATGAATAACCAAATTGGTATAAATAACGGAATTGAATATACAAACAACAACAATAATAAACCGTTCGTAGAATTGAAGGGACGATTGAATTACTTTTAAAATTATGAATGTATATTATAATTAAACATTCCGAATTATTCATACAATGAATTATGAATTAAAAAAAAAAGTTGAAACGTTCTTTTGTAGAACGTATTTGTAAATATCATTTTCTTTTTTAAATAATTACTATTTATTACTCCGTGAATTTACATATTGAACATTTCAATGATCCTTGAACTCAGCGTTTTGTGAATGAAATACAACTTTATTAAAATTGTTTTAATTTCAGTTTTATAATTTTAGAAAATAATTTAAGATCCGAAACTCATTATTAAAGCAAAGACAATGCAGATTAAAATTCACTCTAAAAAGAATGAGTAAATGTATTCCGTAATTGAAATGTAAACTATTGTTTTTCTCTATTCGAAAGACAAAACGAAAGAAAAAGTACCACAGATACATCACCTTCCATTGTCATAGTGTACAATATATCTGATAGAGATTGATAGGAACAATGCGTCGAAAAATATTTTGATGGCTGATGGTATTCACGAAAATATATTATTCAATTACAACGCTATAGAATAAAAGTTAGATAATTTTTTTACAATTTATTTTATGAATGAAGTATTCTAATCTTGCTAAGTTGAAAAATATTATAATAAATAAATAGATATAAAAATTTCCTATCACAGAGTTTGTCCGCGATGAACTCCGAAACTACTCAATCGATTTTAATAATTTTTTTCTTTATTATGCTGGATTTGTTCCAACTTAGAACATAGGATACTTTTTATCTCAATTTTTAATAAAAAATTTTTTGTATTGCAAATTAATTGTTTTTTGACCTTATTATCCATACTCTACCTTAGTTTTTAAATTGTCACTTTATTAGTGATCATTAGTTTTATAATATCGAATAATTTATTATGATACTAATTCGAGACATAATAACTGAGTCAGTAACGCGAGGTCGGGTCAGCTAATAAAATAGATTTAATGCTAGTTCATGAATAACTTCCAGAATATTGTTATCAATTATCACTATTTTTATTTTTAGGTAGATTTCATAGAAATCAATCTTTTGCATTGGTCCTCATGTCGGAATTTACTCGGAATTTTGTCCTAATATCACTTAACTAATCGAGTAAAGCTCAAGAATAACGTTAGTTAAAAAATTTACATATATATATATATATATATATATATATATATATATATAGAGGAAAAGAGTTATAAAAGGAGCATCGATTTCCTTCATCAATATTTTCAAGTAAAAATTTCAATGTTCGTAAAAATGAAAGTAAAAATTATTTGTCCGAAAAATTTTTTTCTTTCAATGTCAAAAATTTAGATGTATAGATAAAAAAAAAACTATTCAACAAAAATTAAAAAAAAAAAATTTCTACTCTTAAAAAAAAATGCTATTCTTACAATTATCTAAATAAAATTTTAGGATTTTAGAATTAGTTAAGCCTCATAAAAATCTTTATAAAACATTTTTCTTTGTTGAGCAATAATAAGCTTATTATTCGGCACTGTTGTTGCTTAATTATTTAAGAGATTTATACAAGTTATTGTACAGTTGAGTTTATAATACAAAATGAATGGATGTGAAGGTAAAAAATGCGGTTAATATGCATCATTTATGCATGTGCCAGAAATAAGTACAGAAGCGACTTTTCGTAAATTAGAAGATTTTTCTTTGTGGAAATTCTCTCATACTTCCGACAGAAAGGCAACATACAACTATAAAAAAAAAAAATGTTTTATTATGTGGATTAGTAAAAGTGACCTAGACAAACGGAAAAGTTGCCGGAAACAGTCAGAATAAAAAATATGAGTGAATAGAAGTAACACTCGGTAAAGTCGGAAGGTTGCGAGGGTTATAGCTGGTGAACAGTAGCAACATTTCCTATTTATATGTGCGTATAAAAGTGAGTGCAAGTATGAGTATACATATGTACATACATATATGTACATACGAAAACGGCGAGGGTGTAGGAAAAAAAGTTGAATAAACGAATGAAAGAGAACGATGAAAAATGCTTAAAAGAAATGAAAAGATAGAAAATAACCGGGAGTAAAAGGGTGGAACGTAAAAATGTAAAAAAGACACCCTGGAATTCTAGACGCTGTGCAAGTTGCTGCAAATGACGAAATGAGACAAGATATTTTTGTAAGAAAATACAATGGCTACACACAATTGAGGTACCGAAAAAAGAAAGAAAAAAAAATATTAATAATAGTAATAATAATGAAAAATATGGGGAGCAGTGAAGAAAAGGGTTCTCTAGACGGAGTGGAAAAATTTTCTACCTGCACTTTTCCGGGAACTCTTTTTGTGGAGCCTCTCGTACGGAAAGGGAAGTCTATGCCGGAGCGAAAAAGCATCTCTGAGATTTGCGTCAAAGGTACTAGAGCATTGTTGAGAGCTTCTATGTAATTGAATGGACTAGTCTGCGATTTTGAGACGCCACTGCTAGCTGAAACAACGGGTTTTTGTCACAAAAAATATTTTTTATTATTTTGTTAGTAAAGTTGTGAGAAGTATTAGTTAACTATTTTTGCTGCCAGGAAAAAAGAGAAATTTAATGGAATTTTTAACTTATATTATCGATTATTAATGAGCATGCCTTAAGCGCTCATGTCATACATAAATTATTTAGATCATAACGAAAATTATTCGTTTTTAATTTGAATTTTCTCGCGAGTAGTATTATCCCCTCTGTAGATCGAACTGAAGAAAAATTTTAACAGATGATAAAGCAGTTAGTAATTATACCATCATGTATTATGTATAGTTTCTGCTTGTTTATAGTTATTTCAATTCTGTTTATGAAAAATAATACATATGGCTGCCGAAATCGCAGAAAAAGTCACCGAACTGACAATCGAAAAAAATTAACTTTATCGAGACGGAATTATTTTGACACGCAATTTTCGTAAGGGTTTTGATAAACTTCCTCAGGAATAAAACAAAAAAAAATTAAATCGTGAAAGTGATTTTTGACAAAGTTGTGGTGTTATCAAGCCCATAGCTCCCGTGAATACCACGCTCTTATTCATTTAATTCATCAGAAAAATGAGTTTTCTCTGAGAAATCTTATTTAATCGATAAGAAAATTTTTTTTCTTCATGTACCTTCACGCCGACCTGATGATCTCTGGGCTAACAAGAATTGATTTCCCTTTTCTATTAACGTTTTGGCTGCTTTCTTGTGAGCAATATCAAATAACTCCTTCAACTTATTCGTAATAGCAGTTTTATTTTTGATTTGCGGAGATGATTGTTTTCGTTTTCATTTACGCTGCAAACTTTTTCACTTTTTGAACATTATGAATAATTTATTGATTGTCTTTAGAGTTTAACAAGTAGAAATTTCGCCTTTTCCTATTGTTCTTGAACCTCGGTTCACCGTAAATAAAAGACTTTGTTTACCGCTACACTTTTGTCCTTAATGATTATAGAAAAATAAAGCTGAATCGTTCTTGAAAGTTGAAAGAATACGTCCAACAATACCAGTTATTGGAAAACCAATTAAATAAACTTCTTTATTCATTTTTTATAATCGATTTTGTCTATTTAAAAAAGTACTCAGTTACGAAATAATTTAAAGAAGAATGAATGTCGGTCAACAAATAATTGGACATATAACACATAAAAAAGAATTTTAATTAGCAAATTAAGATACAATAGTATTAGAAATTTGAGAGTCAAATAAAAGCATCTGTGAAACCAAATAAAATTTAGAATACCTAAAATTAGGAAAATTTGACAAAATTTTTTGATAAACTTGATAGTTTCGTCAAAAAATTGGAAAAAAGAAGAGAAAATATTATAAATTGTATTTTAAAGTTGAATAACTTCGAAACGCGTCAGTTTATCGAAAAATTATAAGAGAGCTTTTTTGTAGAGCGTTCAATTTTATACAAGAAAATGATTTGGCCTAGGTTTTTTGATGAACCATTAAAGAGTTATAAAATTCTAAACTCAAAAAAACAAGCTTTCCCGTGTTAATCTTACGGGAAATTGAAATTTATCATGCGAGAGTTCTTAATATTAATATTAAGGGCTGTGGCTTTCACAGGATTTTTTTTTCATCATTTCCAACAATATTTTCGTTAAATTTAAGAAAAAAAAAATAGTCGATTTTTTTGAATCAGCCTAGTATACATATATGTTAAAATAAATTTCATTCCATGTCAAACGAAAGTTATTGAGACAAGATGAGAATTCATTCTATGAAATCTACCTTCCATTTCGGGTATGGCCGAATGGCGGCTTTTTTTTTTTTAATTGGAATTGTTATGTTTTTTCGGAGTTTATTTTTATAAATCTGAAAAAACGAGTTTTTGAGACGAGTCCAATCGTTGGATTATCAAAAAAGTTTACAGCTTTGAAGTAAAAACAAAATACTCTAAAATCAATATTTCGATTCTAGGGTGTATTTATAAGGCGATTTCGTTTTTACATAAATAACATAGAAACTTTTTTTTTCATCGTTTTTTTTTTTTTTTAAATCTTTTGGATGGTCAAAAATAATTCAATGCTTTCGATCTCTAAATTTTACAAGTCATATCTTTCTGTCATTTATTCTCTCATAAATTTATTTTGTTATAAAAATAAAACCTTAACATAATTACGAATTATTTTTTATTAACACTGAAACTTTTAACTACATATTACTCCAAATTATACATTTAATGTAATAATTTTTTTTAGGGTTCGAATATTATAAACGCTCGTGAAGTAGTGCAACAATGTGAAAAAATAACATACAGTCCTACATATTAATATGCGTCACAAAATAAATATTTTAAGATTTCAGTTAGTTGTCCCAAACAGAAAAAACTGTAAAATCAATACTAAAAACAAAAAAAAATTCTTTTGGTTATTGTCTACGTATTCAGCCTTTTTTTATACTGAATTGAAGTAAACTTTGTTTTAAATGGAATTATTTTTAAATTTCAAACGAGTCGTTTACTAATTCATTTATTATTTTCAACTGATAAATTTAATTATTATTATTATTTTGTAAACAATCGCGAAATATAATTATATCAGTACTTATAAAAAAAAATTTCAAGTATACAATTAAATGTTTACATTCAAATAAAAATCTTTTTAAAAAAAATTAACCTGAACATCCACGGCAACCACAATGTATGCATTCTACTATCCTACCTTCCTCTAATTTGCCTTTTGGTACTCGGCAAATACAATTCGTACCAAAGTTAGTATCCCTTGTTTGAATGCATCGTAAACAACACAAGTTCTCGTAGCCAACTTTCTTCCATTTGGCGATAAGGTTCTTATCAGCAATATTTTCATTCAAACAATAGTCGTATAGTTCTGTAAGAAACAGTTTTATATCATTATCACTTATATCCACTTAAAATGCCAAAATTAGCAAATATCTGAATTTTTTGGTTTATTTTTTTTTTATATATGTATTTTATCGAATTTTCTACACTGAAAAAATATAACTGATTACTATCAATATATTGAAAATAAACGAAATTTCGACACATGAATTGTTTATAATAATTTTTTCAACATGCAACTGACTGCTATGTAGAATAATAATCATTTGTATTTATTTCCCAATACATGCTCATATTTTTTCATAATTTATTCGTCGAAAATATGTAAGAAAAAAATTATCATTTTTGCTATTCTGAATGTTATTGTTTTATCATTTTAGTAGATAATACTATTTAATAAAAGTAAATAATACATACCTTTGCTAATTGCTTTTCTCCGATAATAAAGATCATAGATGTATCTTGATTTTTGATGGTGTATTTTGAAAATTGGCCACAATGATTCTTGTTTCCTTTTTCCTTCGTGAGGTTCAGTTTCAGCTAGAATATTATAAATAAATAAATATAAAAATCATAACAGCTGTTAATTTAAGTATATATTAATAAAAATATATCATAAATACCTTCGCGCATTTTTGACTCCAATTCTTCTAAAGTTGGTTCAATTAGTTCCCATCCTTCTGGTGGTGATTTCTTACTTCTACGTACTTTCGGCATATTTATTTTTTTATCGTGTATGATTGAATTATTATCAATAATTGTAATCCCAATTAATTATTTATGAGGTTGATTTTCTGTTTGTTTTTTTACCATGAATTTATAAATGTTCAAAGTAAAAAAATTACTTATCTCTCACAGATTTAACACCTACACACGTAGATTTTTAATTATTATTCTTTAATGATAGAATAATCAACTTAGAAAATAATAAAATATTAAATTCAATTGTATACAAATGTCCTCAGTAGGTTGATATGTTTTTCAGGACAATGTATTGTATGTACACATCAGAGTATGGTGAATACTCATTTTGTAAATTGACCAAACTTGGGTGCGTTTAGAATGAACGTTGTCATAGAAATTGAAATTAGCTCGTTGAAAGAGGAAAAAAAAAAAATTCTTGCAAATGCAAACTAATTTTGAAATTTAATAAATGGTAACCTTCACGAACTAGATATGACGATTAAATTAGTTATTAATAATAGAAATATTAATATAAAAGTACGAGCCATTTACAGAAAAAATTTTAATTTCAAATAACTACTTTACTATAGTACTCTCTCCAATTAACCCTGTTTACCAACTCATAGGACCAAAACTACGAGCACATTTTTCTCCCAACCCAAAAAATTTAACTAGATCTAACTTGTGCCAACTTCTCGTTTTCATTATATTCTCAACAATCCACATTTTTGTATCTTGTCTAAAGTTAACGTCAATATTTTTCCATATTTACCGCAAACCATTCCTCCAATTATAATTTTTTAATTAAAATAAAAAATTGAAAAATGCCACGAGGTAATTTTATTATTATTTTTATTGTCAACTTAAAATAATGTTAAAAAAAATTATTTTTATCAACTGAAATTTTACAACCTCTACAATTTTTAAGATTTTTATTAATTATATATATATGTATATAATTGTTTGTTTTATTTTTTTAACATTTATTTAACGCTATTTTCTAGGAAAATTTGTAAACCACAAAGGACGCAATCGTCATTTCACTAATCCTGAAGAATTGGAAGAGCAACGGCGTCAAGACGAGGCACGAAAAAAGTGGAGAGTCAGTATTTTATAGGTTAACCACCAACGAAACGACTTGGAGAAATAATATTTCTTAAAGTACTAAGTTTCCAAGTATTTTGGTGATGGTAAACAAAATAATTTTCAATTGATCATTTTTACTTTTTATAGCAAAACAAAGAGCACAGTGATGAATCTAGTGATGACGACGAGGATCCTAAAGCCAGCAGCGCTACATCGAAAAATCCTGATGCTTCGTCCGAAGACAGTGACAGTGAATCCGATGGTGATTCAGAGGGCGAAGTATGAATAATGATTTTGTTGATACTCATAATTCGATAATTTTTTTTTTGTAATATTTTATCTATTCTTCTTTACTTTAGGGAAAAGCTAAAGGAGTGGAAAATTTAATTGAAGTGGAAAATCCAAATAGGGTACAAAAGAAAACCAAAAAATTATCAAAACTAAATGAGACACTAGGTGAATCTACAAAGCCCGAACTCTCACGAAGAGAGAGGTAAACATAAATAAAAATTATATTCAATCTTTTTTTTCTGCTTCTAATTTATGCTAAGACTGAAATATTTTTAGTCATTCTCACCATGTGTATATATTTAATCAATTAAATTATTGAATGATTTCAAAAATCCGAAAACACTTAAATCTAGAAATTTTACAAGAATTTTTTAAAAACATAACAATTTCAAAAACTAACTGATTTTAAAGCCGTTAATTGGTTTAAAATAACCGGTGAAACGCTTTAATAATCTTCTTAAATCAAAAATTCAGAGTTTTAGATAAAGCAAAATGATTATCGTATTCACTTCATAAAGATATTTCAAATAATAATATTGCAATTCATGTACAGATTAATACTACAACATAATTTTAATGTACACAACATTTCACTCGTCCATTACTTGACGATATAATTGAAAAATTGAATTTAATTATGATAAACATTGTTTTTCATATAAATTATAAGCACAATGTCAAGTTAGCATTAAAACATAACTGATATTTATTTCTTTTTACAGTCATAATATTTTTATATTAATTATTTTAAGTAATCGTAAGTGTTAAAAATCATTTTCATCTGAATTTTTCTTTTTTATTCAATAGGGAACAAATAGAAAAACAGCGGGCATATGCAAATTATCAAAAGCTACATGCTGCAGGTAAAACTGATGAAGCACGGGCTGATTTAGCACGTTTAGCCATAATTAAACAACAAAGAGAAGATGCCGCAAAACGAAGAGAAGATGAGAAAAAGCAAAAGGAGTTAGCAGCCCAAAAGAAAACCGATTTGACGCAAAAAGCACTGGGAAAACGATCTTAAACATATTAAATAACTATCTGTAAAACACATTGAAAATTGAATGTGATTCTTTTGATTATAACATATTATTATCATTACAAATGATTTACTAATTCAATCGCTACTTTCTTATCAATAAAAATTTACTAAATTCCTCTAACACTTAGTATTATTATTTCATCACCAGATGGCGAATTTATTGAGAGGGGAAAGTAATTTTCTTATCATCATATCATATGTATTTTACGCATTATTATATATAATCTTCGAGGTTATAGCAGTGGTAATCTGAATCTAAAAAAAGAATAAAGTTACTATTTATTTGATTAAAATCAATTTGAGAAAAGTAAGTTGCTAGAAAATTGAAATTAACTAAAACGTTGTATATGCTTGATTTTAATTATAAATCAATGTTGAAATTAAATGTAAGATTTTTTTTCTAACTCCAAAAAAAATAATCAGATATTTAATTGATATTGATTTTCAAACAGATAACCATCAACAATTTGTCGGTTAAACTAGGAAGAGTTTTTAGAAATTTGTCAACGATGTCATTTGAAACAGAGAAAGGTAAAAAAAAACATATAATTATTATTTCCCATAGAATTGTTTTATGTAATTCCATAATTATGGAATATCTGTGGTTTTAAAAACCATTATGGTTTTATTATATTTTTAAAGTATTTAACAAACTGAAGAAAAAAATTTTTCTAGAAAAATACCTGAAGATGAGCTCGGATGAAAAAAAAAATTTTTACAAAGGTGACATAACAACTTTAGATCAAGTTATGACGTGGCCACAATATTGGCAAAAGAATAAAGAGTCAATAAAACCAATTGATACAAAAGAAATGGAAAAGAGTTCAGAGGAATTAGCTAATAAAATTTCAATGTGGCAAGGCGACATCACGAGTCTACAAATAGATGCTATTGTCAATGCTGCAAATTCAAGTTTGCTTGGTGGTGGTGGAGGTAGCAAAGATTTTCATAAGTTATTTTATCATTTTTACTAATAATTTAATTACAATGAATATTAACTAAATACATGTAAAAATGTTATCTCAATAGTTGATGGAGCTATTCATCGTGCTGCGGGGCCAATGCTCAAAAAAGAATGTGCGACACTAGATGGGTGTGCTGTTGGTGAAGCAAAAATAACGGGGGGCTATAAATTGCCGGCAAAATGTTAGTTTATACTCAAAATTAAATAATTAATTTTTACTCAATGAGACAACTAATCAGATAAAATTTTATTATTAGATGTTATTCATACTGTTGGACCACAGGGAGAAAAACCAGAAAAATTAAAGGAATGTTATGTAAATAGTCTCCGTGTTGCCAAAGAAAATAGTGTTAAAACAATTGCTTTCCCATGTATATCAACCGGAGTATACGGTTATCCTCAAAAACCAGCAGCTGAAGTGACAATTGAAACAGTCAAAAAATATTTACAAGATAATATAAACGATGTGAGTTGTTAAAATTTTTCTTACTATAATTAACAGAAATTTTTATTACATTACAAGTCACTAAATATTTTTGTCTTTACTTTTTTGCAGATTGAAAGGGTTATTTTTTGTCTATTTTTGGAGTCAGACAAAGAAATTTATGAAGAACTACTTCAAAAATATTTCCCTTGAGATTTAATCATTTTTACTGAATAAATAATAATTTCAAGCTCTCTTTATGATTTTTTAAACGGTTTCATCTAAAAGTATTAAAAATTCCAGCTACTATTGTTTCAATTGAATAAAGCCAATAAAATTATTTTTTCAAAAATTAAAAAACTTGGACCTTGGTTGCCTTTACTCAAAAATTTAGTAATAAGTAATTATTTGTTGTTGTAAACATTAATTCAAAAACATGTGATAAATAAATTTGTGAATAAATTGATATTAAAAATCTTTTACATGTCATAAGCATTATTAAAATTCCATTCAACTGGATGTCAATAATGGAAAATCAAAAATCATTACAGGAATTTATTTACTACCTGAGTTTATGTCGTGAGAGTAACACGAGCAAGCTTATTCGAGTAGTTTTATAGTTCTGGGAAATGTTGACAAAGTTAGTTTTGTTTATTGTTTGTTTAAAGAGATGACTATACTTTAATTTATGTGCTACAACAATTTTTTTTTCAGTTTTATACAGCAAAATGCATTATTTATAATTTATTATCAATTAAATTAAATAATTCAAATTATGGTGAATTTGCCGCGTAATGCATCAACGACGACACCTATCATATCATTGGATATAACATTTAAAAAATGTACGCGATTTAAAGATTTAAAGAAACGATTTAAAAGAATAAAGAATTATAAATTGGCATCATTGTAATTTTTAACATTTGGTATTATTATAATGTTGCTTTTATCAGCAAAAGTGCTTTTTATTACTAAGTTTTGGTTAAAATAAATAAAGTAAACTAGTATCTATCGTTTCCATAGTTAAAAAATTTCAATAAAACTTTCATATTTTATGATTGTTTTGTTGTTTTTTTTTAATATTTTGATATTTTCCAGCTCAAAATATTGTTATAACTAAACAAATTGAGCACACTTAAGTATTATTAATTATCACTATCAAAATGTGGTGGCAGCACGTTACGGCAAGTATGGAAGAAAAAAGGGAAAAAGTAAGTACACCAGCGCCATAACTTAGCATTCCAGCCGCATCGTTTCGTCTGACGGTCAAGCTCTAGTGGTGGCAGCCATCTTGAAAAATGAAAATTTGTAATGTCTGCATGTGGTAATAGGTGGGGGACGTTTGTTAATGTGTGGTACATTTCGATCGTGAAATCTGTCACAAATGGGTAAATATTTAGAGTTTTACATAAGTGCTTAACTGACTTAGATATTATAAGTTTTATTGTTTCTATCGTAATACAAACCATAAAACATTAGTTGTGGCGAAGGCATGAGGCGACCGTTCGATCGCGAGTGAAGAACGGGTCTTGTGTCAACTGTATCTACAGTTTCGAGAATTCCCTTCCGTGGCTTCTTTTGTATTGTATATTATTTTATAATTACATTGTTTTAAATATGGAATATTGTTTAAATAAAAACTGTGGTGATACCAATAAGCTAAAATTAAGTGATTGAAATAATGTATTGTTAGCTCCAAGGATTATAAAATACGCGGGTGAATTATTTTATGATTTGATGGTTTGGAGTATCATGGACAAACATACAGAGTCCCGTAATCCTGAATGGCTGCCTACTTTCTAGGTTACTGACGAATACTCATGTCTGTTTTTTAAGTCTGATAGTGTGTAATACTCTAAATTCGTGTAATTTAATTATAATTGTGTATTATTTATTTTTAGTTATTTATATATCATCATATAAAATATGAATATATTTTAATGATTTATTGTCAGTTAGACTAAAAAATAAATCGGTCGCTAGCACGTTTTTAGCTAGGTGCATGTGTCAGTCTAAATGAAACTAATCACCCCCGCTGGTTATACTAGCGCTGTCACCACCGTTTATGACTTTTACTTTAGATAAGCGTACTGCAATTTAAATGTATGCAACTATTTGCCTACATAAGTGTGTCTACTCAAATCACACGCGAGTGGTGAGTATAAAAATATACAAGGATGAGAAAATAGTTTAATAAGAGTTATGTAGGAGGAGCCCCAAATGTCTCTTTAAAGATATCTTATTTCGGTAACAATTTTACCTCTATCAATAAAATTTATCTAAAATTTATAATTATAAGAAAACAAATAATTTTATATCTTGTTTCTTTTTTTAAGGTTCATTACTTTTATTTTGAATTTTATTTATCAAAATTTTATTCCTGGGTTCATTTTATTTTTTAAAATTAGCGACCTCGAGAGAGTAAGTACTGCAGTTGACTCTGCGAGGTCGAATCAATGGTGAACGAGTTTACTTCGAGTCCCTTCACTTTCACGTGATATTGTAAGACTTACTGATATTAAAAGCCGCTTCTTCTCTCGCTATTTTACTCATATTTTTGTTATTTATTTATTCATTTTTTTTTCTTTTTTCCAAGGTCAACATCGCTTTCTTTTGACGTCCTCGTTATTTAGTGTACACCTATATTCGGAATTGAGAGATATCATCTTCGATCGAACGGCTTTCCTGGATTTTCGTTTTTATATTGACTAGTTTTATTTCATTTTTTTTCGCTTTTCAAACTCATGATTTTCCCTTTAATGATATGTAATATTTATTTATTTATTTATTTTTTAAAGAGAAATTATTTAATTATAACGTATATTTAAATAAAATAGAGAGTAGGTATTTGTGAGTATTTTAAATATCAAGAAAATATAAAATTAATCAGATATACAGGGCTGAGAAATATTTGAACTGAGTGTAACCGATTTGGCAGCAAGGCCTTTCTCTCTTTTTGGGCCAAACGAGCAAATACTTGTAGAATAACGCCCACTCTATCGTCCAATCATCAGACTAATTGCGAGTTCACCGACTTAGAGTAGACGGCATTTATTCTTTGAAACAAAAATTTTTTTTTTGTCAATTTCCTCAATTTTTTCCCATATACGTCGTTTTCACTGAATTCATACGTACATATTTATTATTTAACATCCGGTCAGGAAATATCTTTTGATCAAAATGCTGTCATTATGTGAATAATTTCTCGAAAATTTTTACTTTTGTTAAAACTCAAGTTTTACATACTTATTCATACAGCGGATGTGTAACAATATATTAATAATTCAATAACGGAAACTTACTGTTATTTATTATTATATATGGTATTTAAGTAAAAATATAAACTTTATGAATGTTTTTTTTTATTTTATAAAAACCAATTTTAATTTTACAACAAATTTTGTTAAGTTTAGTGCATTATAGTAAAACCCGGTCAGTTTACACGATAATAATATCGCATGTATATTTAAAATCGATGCTTATGAAGCTGTAGATTTGTGTAAACTCTAAAGGTCAGATTGGGACTAATGAGTTCTCCATTTGCGTTTGAACTAGAATACTAAGTGCATGTTAAAAAAAGCTTTAACGTTAATCATGCTCACATATAGCTTAGATAAAATAGTGATAATTCATACAATTACATGTATATATCTAAATATTGAAGTTTTTTTTTACAATTTTATGAACAAAAAACAAATTTTTTCAAATTACCGTGACAATCCCTTTAAAAGTCAGATTACTTTAAATACTTGAGTAACAAAAAACAATTTTTTTCTAATTCCGAATCAGCATCTATTTTTAATCGTTAAATTTTTAATTGAAATATTTTGCATTCCATTTTATGAAATTTATAAACCGGTGAAATATTTCAGATTATTGATAACTGTTAGAAAAACTAAATTTATAAATTGGTATATAATTTTGTTTTTGCTAGTAGCTCCAATAAAAACGTAATATTTTATTGTGAAATTCAAATAAATGTCTTCATAGTCTCTCCATATTTGTCAGTTATTATTATTATATATTCTGTTTTAGTAAAATAAAGAATAAAAATCCATAACTGATGTCAACTCTATTTTTTATGATGAATAATAATACTTGATAAATTTTTTCATGAATTTTTAATTAAAAATCGCCTTCTTAATCCAGATATTGAGAAAATAAATACCCAAATCTTGATTTCTAAAATCTAAAAAATATTCTATGGTCAAATATTTGAAATGCAATATTTACACGAATAAAATGTTTTGAAGTTCAAAGATTTAAAAAAAATTTTTTCTCAACACAGTATTAACCTTATAATGATGTAGGGAGCTTTTATTGCTTTGTATTACAATACTCAACTAACGCGGAAGGAAGCTGACCTCCTTCGCTTGAGGTCTGCCCTGAATCAACATCATCAACGTCATGTCAAGTAGCGCATTGCAATCGACAATATTCGTCATAATAAACGCTCTTAAGTGGTTACTCAATTAAAAAAATATTACTACTTGAGCTCTAAAACAAAAAATAAGATGAACTTTTAAAATTTTAAACAAAAAAAAAACATCAACCATATGATGCTAACTATTTCCATTGTTCTCATAGATACAGAGTTTATTTTTCTTCATATTTTTAAAGTATTTATATTCTCTATTTTATTACGTTTTTTGTAGTAAACAATAAAGATAATTTGTAATACTTCATCATACGCTTTCCACGGTAAATAACTACAGCAATACGCAGACCTGTTGAAACGACCATTTGCTTTCACCAATTTTAAATTAATGTTTCTACTGTATTATAATTATATTGTATTTTAATTTTTCTGTAAAAAGATAATTTTTTTCTGTTCTTACTTTTTTGTTGAGTATAACATTCTTTTTTCTTTTCTTTTACAGGCGTAAAGGCAGAAACTGTAGCATTAAAGGGTTGGAGGGTTTGAGGCAGTAATCCTGGCTGGCCTATAATGTACAATACCATGCGGAGCACATTGCAAACTGTTCCAGAATCTGTGCCCGCTGACCGCGTCACAAATCCTAAGGTAACTTTTAAAATTTTTCATTAAAAATTAATTTTTGTCCTGGTAAAAACAAAATATATATTTGTACTAGTATAGTCTTGTCTTTAAAAAAATTTCATTCACGTCATAATAATTTTTATCGGAATATCTGTTGGTGGATACATCATTTTGAAGCTTCTGCTTAATCATAAAAAATATCAATGGAAGTGGT